GTAGAGACAGGGTTTCACCGTATTAGCCAGGATGGTCTCGATCTCCTGACCTCATGATCCACCCGTCTCGGCCTCCCAAAGTGCTGGGATTACAGGCTTGAGCCACCGCGCCCGGCCTGAACATTACTTTTTGAGGGTCCAGCATAGTAGTTGGCTGGTCCTTGCTTTATGTGGCTACACTCTGAACCAGAGAGCTTAATTCTTGAGTTTTACATTCTGCCAAGATACTCGTGATGAGTGTAGAGGCCCCAGAGAGAGCCAAGACTTGCGATGTGGGAGACCAGGACCAGAGTGTGTTTCTTCCGGACACAGAACTCACCTGGACCTTACCTGGAAAGCCCAGGCGCTTGGGGATTTATACCCTTCCCAAGGATCAACCACTGTGATCAACTCTGCTCGTCCTGTGTTTTTGGCTTATAGCCAAAGCCTGGAATAAATAGCCCCATATTTCAGAATCTCTATGACTTGTCCAGGGTGGGCGATACCTCCCTTCAGTTGAGGTTTCACCAGGCTGACTCTAGGGTAATGGTTGCATGGGTCCTGACCCCTAAGTTCATACCTTCACAAACACCCCTTAGGCTCGCCACTCATTGCTTTCCTTGCCATTAAGAAAAATTCCCGGTGCAATTAGAGGCATTTGGTTCCCCATATTTCTGGTTTCCTTCTGAGCCTCTCAAACCAATTCCTCAGTTCCCTAGCTTCATTCTCTGGGACAGCTGAGTTTCATGTCAGTCAGGGATCACAGAGGTTAGATAAGGCCTCCCTAAAACGAGGGGCCAGCAGCTAGACATGGCAGCAGAGATGGAGCCAACCTCTTTCTGCTTCTTGCAGCCCTGACCGTGAAGTTTCTGACCAAGAGGTTTATCAGTGAATATGACCCCAACTTGGGTAAGAAACTACTCCTCCCTGTACCCTCTGCTGCCTGCGCCCCACCTGGAGTGCTCCCCTGGGACCTACCCCGTGGGTGGGCACTGACCAGGACTGCATGTCTGGGGACAGAAGGGAGAAGCCGCCAGGATGACCCAGCCCATGGGGGAAAGTGTTTTAGGTGTCAGAAATACCCCTTCCACAGCCCACCCCAGACAATTGGGGGGTTGGCCTAATTCACAGAACTAAGAAAGGCTGATTTACCCTAAAATATGAAGTATGATGGAACTAAAAAAATAAAAATAAACATAGCAGGACATCCACATCCAAACAGGTAGTATTCTTAGGCCAGGCGCGGTGGCTCATGCCTGTAATCTCAGCACTTTGGGAGGCTGAGGCGGGCGGATCACCTGAGGTCAGGAGTTAATGACCAGCCTGGCCAACACGGTGAAACCCCGTCTCTACTAAAAATACAAAAATTAGCCTGGTGTAGTGGTGTGTGCCTGTAATCCCAGCTTCTAGGGAGGCTGAGGCAGGAGAACTGCTTGAACCCGGGAGTTGGAGGTTGCAGTGAGCCGAGATCGCGCCACTGCACTCCAGCCTGGGCGACAGAGCAAGACTCCATCTAAACAAAAACAAAAACAAAAAAACCTCAGAAACAAATAGGTATTGTTCTTCAGGATGGTCAGTGTTCTCTTCCAGAAAAGCTGGGCAAACATTTGAGGAATTCTCTAGTGGTGCTGGCTTCTGAACCAGTTTTTTAACTATATGAGAAAACAACTCTTGTTTTTATCACTGCGTCATGGTATATTGGAAAAAGGAATGTTTCCGTGTCAGTCAAAGCTGGGTTTGAATCCTACCAGGCTCTGCTCCTTATTGGCAAACTTGAGCCAGTCAGCTAACCTCTCTGAGCTACTGTTTCCTCATCTGTAAAATGGGCATTAAACAATACTTATCTCAGAGAATTGCTGTGAGGATTAAAGAAATAACACATGTAAAAGATCCAGCATAGTACTTGACCCACAGTAGGCACTCAATGCATTTTTGCTTTTCCTTCCTCAAATGGCTTCCTGTACACAATGGCTTAGATTCCCTTCTAAAACAAATCAAAGCAGGATTTTATTAGTAGAAATGTTGCTTAAAGCTCACGTGTATAACATTTGTCTATTGTAAACTGTTCACTGAGAGCCATAAGGTGTCTGGATGAACTTAGCCTTTTGAAAATGGGTGTTGTAGTCTTGGATTATTTTCCCCATTCATACAAATCAAATAAAGCATTCCTGGGACCCCTGACAGCCCTCCAAAGAAGCCCAAGGCTCTGTGACACAAGTGGAAACCCCCTGCACTGCCTGCAGCAGGCCCCTGATATGGTGCTCCTGCCGCACCTGGAGGGGAGAGCTCCTTACCCTAGTGGTGCCCAACCCCTTAGTTCAGGCTGGAATCCAGCACCAAATCACAGTGTTGGAGCAGGCAGAGACATCATGGCTATTTAGTCCCCTGGTTTAAAAAAGCTTTTCCTTAGGTAGCAGAATCCCTTCTTCCAAATTTTAAACAGAACCCCAGCGTGTCAAACAGAGAGAGCAAAGGGGTTCCCGTGGATAAGTCAGGGATTCAGGGCAGGTGACATGGTGACAGTCCCTAAGGGATTTGTTCCTCGAAGCTCTGCTTGATCCCTGTGCCAAGGCCTTGGCACAGCCCTTCAGTGCTACAGTGGAGGAAACAGGCCCAAGGAGCTGAGGACTCTGGGCCAAGGTCACCCAGAGGAGGCCCTTTGGTTAGCAGAGGTCAGCTCCAGAGAGAGGAGGACACAGGACGCAATGGTGTGCTGGCCGGTGAGGTGTTGGGAGGGGCCAGAGCGTGGAATAGAGATGGGGTGGAGAAACTGAGGACAGAGGTGAGGTGGGAAGACAGGAAGGAAAGGCACACAAGCAGACATGGTGTCTGGGAAAGGACAAGGGAGATTCCCAAGGACAGGGCCTCAAAAGACATATTCGGCCTAATTCAAATATTGCATGGGTCATGCTTATACCAAAAATTATTCCTTTTTGTTTGAAATTCAGATTTAACTGGGCATCTGGTATTTTTCCTGGCAACTCACCTCCAGTCTCTCTTCCTCCCTGCCTTCCAATCCATCCTGTCACAGGGTCCCACCGGATGAGCCTATTACAGTGGTGGTTTGAGCCTCCTGATTGAGTAATTTTGGAGTTCTGACCTGGTAGTGGAATGCGTGGGCAGACTGTCTGGGAAGTGGGCAGCCTCACAATGGTCAGTCCTCTCGGCATGTGGTCTCTCACACTACACTGACAGCCCACGAGTCAGAGAGCCAACCAGACGTTCTCCCCTCAGACTCTCTGGGAGGCCTGTGCCACTCCTCGAAGGTTCTGCTGAGAAGGGCCTGAACATTCCGGCCACTGTCCCATTGTTGTTTCCAGCAGCAGCAGCAGCAGCAGAGACTGAGACGAGAACCTTTCCTTCTGTGGATAAAGCTCTCCACCACCGGAGAGCTAGCCATCAGTAATGCTGGTAAAACCACTCTCTATGCCCTTCCTAGGTCTTCTGAGAGCCTCAGCTCATTTGGTGAGCCTGGAGGATGGAGATTCATTCCCGTTTCCAGCAGGTAGCACAGTACTAGCCTCAGTGTAGATGAGCGTTTAACTGTGGGGGTAAATTTTGGTTTTAGGATTACCCTTTAAAGAAGAGCTTCTATCATGATCCTCATTTTATAGGTGAAGACATGGAGGAAGAGAGGGTCCAGTGATTTGCCTTAAGATTATGGAGACCCTCAGGCACAAAGGAAGACCAGGCATGGCTCCAGTTGCTCTCCGCCAGGAGCAGCCTCATGTCATAGAGGGCCTGGAGTCAGAGGTCTGTGTGGCACAGGGCCCTCTGAGATGCAGTTTCCCCATCTGGAAGATGGGACCAATAGCCTGTGCTCTGACTGTGTAAGAGTTGCACTGTGTTCTGGGGTATGTCTCCTAGAGCTGGTAGGAGCTGAGAGATTCAGTGTCTGTGGAAGGGCTTTGCCTGTGCTGAGCCCCACAGGAGTGGGCAGGGGTCTCCAGGAGAATATTCTCCTCTCCCAGAAGGGTTGACCATGCCTCATCTGGCTCAGCCAGGGGAGAATGTCAGCTTCTTACTCTTCTTGCCCTCCTCCTCCTCCAGCAAGGATATAGGCACCATTTCTGAGGCAGCACCCTATATACACTCTGATGTGAGCTTCTGTGGTGCCATTTAAAAAATTATTACTGTGAATGAGAAGAAAACATTGACAAATTCAAAACTTTGGGAAATGACTCTTCTCTCAGCACAAAAGTCCATAGACTATTAATTAGAACCAGGTGTTAGGAAGCCCTTATATTTAAGGACACCAGAGTACTCTGAGGCAGGGACTTGGTGATAGGAAGTCTGGACATTACTGTGACTGGGAAAGGAGCCCCTCACTCTTGCCCCAGCCCCTGAGGCCCATCACCTCTTCTGTAAAGGGAGGCTGGACAGTATGAGCGCCAAGGCTTCTTCCAGCTCATACAGCCATGTTCCACATCCCTGCCGGACTGGGCGATTCTGATCTTTCCTCATACTCTGCCCAGACAGAGCTGGAGGGCAGGCTGATTCACTGAGCAGTCACGGGGTGAGGGAGTCCCAATGTGAACACAGCCCAGCCTAGAAGCCCTGAGTTCAAGTTCCTACTGCTGATTAGGTGCTGTGTGGCCTTGGGCGAGATCCCTTCTCTGGGCCTCACCTTGTCATCTCTCTACAATGGAGCTAACAGCAACCTTGAAAGGCTGTCCTGCTGTCGGCAGGAGACCAAGGGTGGGCTAGCGCCTTTCACTGGGCTGGGCAGGACACTGCACCCATTGGGGGGAACCCCTAAAAGGGGTGCATCTGACATCTTTGAGTGGAAAATAAAGACATCTGAAAGAGATGTAAGCAACTAGGGGCAGCTCTTCTTGGACTAAATATAGTTAAACATTTGGAACATAGTTTCCATTAGATTTTTTTTTGTCTTTGCATAAGAGCAGCTATTTATCCAAGTCCCCAAAGCAGGCTGGGGACAAGAAGCTGTCTGTGATTCATGCTGGATGCTAGTGGACCTGGAGAGTGTCCAGACTGGCTTGGCTGCCAGTAGCCCTCAGAGAGACGTGTTTGACTATAAATTCAGCCAGGGTTGGGAGTGTGCCCTCTCACAGTGGGTGCTGCCAGAAGGGCAGAGACCATCCCAATTCTGCCAAAAGGGGTCTTCTTTAGGGCCACTAGGGGCAGGGGACACCTAGGGAAAGGTAATAACCAAGTACACTCACACATGTGGGCCAATGACACAGGCACAGATTGGGGTTGGGGAGAATGACTGCCAACATGGCCGCGAGCTCCTCTGCATGCCTGGCCACTTGCTGCCTTCTCAGATTTGAGATCATGAGAACTATATGTGTGTGTATATATATGTGTGTATGTATATATATATAGTAACAACTCGAGAAATTCAAATAAGGTCACTAGTTTGGTTCATAGTATGGTATCAATGTAAGTTTCTTTTTGATCATTGGGCTGTGGTTATGTAAGGTGATGACACTGGGGGAAGCTGGGTGAAGAGTACACAGGAACTCTGTACTATTTTACAACTTCTATGTCAGTCTAAAGTATTTCAAAAGTAAAAAAAAAGAAAATCACCTGGGAATGTGATCCTGCCCTATTAACTTTGGAGAACCATGGTTCCCACTGTCCTCACCAGGCATGTGTGGTAAGCCAGGCCCCATGCCCAGGGGGGCCCATCGAGTTCTTACAGAGCCCTGGGAGATGGGACTGTTAAATGAGCTAATGTCAAGCACTTAGCACAGCGCCTGGGACAGAGGAAATGCTTGGAAACTGTTAGCAATGTTATCATAGTGTTCCTGTTTTAAAATGAGGAAACAGCCTCAGAGAGCTGAAGTGATTTGGCCAAGTCACAAAGCTAAAAAGTTGCTGACATTGGGTTTAATACCACATTCTCCAACTGAAAACTTCTGACTACACTAGACTGACTCCCCTGCTGTCATGTTGACAAGGATTGTTTGTAAAACCTTCTTGGAACTTCTAAAGGGGGTCTGACTGCCGTCCTTCCATCGTATCATGTACTTCTCTTTTCCCTTGTCTTTTCTCCCACTGCGGGCAGGAGGGTGGTCGGAAGGGAAGAAGGTGGGAAAGACTGGGGTTCTGGGATAGAGGGGCTAGCAGTGCTGCTCCTGAGCCAGCCTGTGCTGCTAACAGGGTCTAGGGGTCACACACTTGGCTCTATCCTGCTGGTTTTGTGTGTAGGTCCAGAACACAGTCCCGCCCCCGAGCCATGGTCTGTGAGTAACCACTGATGCTGAGTCCTGCAGGTGGAGCAGCATCTCCTTGGTGGGAGGGCCTGCCTGTAGCCTCCATGATTGTGAGAACCAAGGACTTTCCAGTGGTCCCAGCCCCAGAGCAGCTCCTATGGTCCCCCAAGGCCACATGGGTCTAGCACAGAGGGAAGCTCAAACTTACACCCAAGGCACTGTGTCTGACCTGGCTAACCATCTGTGTTGTAGAGGACACCTACAGCTCCGAGGAGACCGTGGACCATCAGCCTGTCCACCTGAGGGTCATGGACACTGCAGACCTGGTAACATTACCTCCATTACCTATGCACTGTTGCGAGTCACTGTGGCCTCCTGAGAAGTCCTGGCCCAGAGCGCGAGGCCTCAGATGTGCATTTAGATGCCTTTTAAGCTCAAGTTTGCTGTGTAACCCTGAATAAGGCACTTGATCTCTGTGGGTCTGAATCCTTTCTTTGCCAAATGAGAAGGATGGGATGGGGCCTGGAGAGACATGATGGTTGCTGGCATCTGCTCTGAGATCTTGTGCTGTGGAGCTCTGTGCCTGTGCACACGAGGAGGCAGGTACACACCTGTTTACACAGATGCTCCTGGTGAGATCCCCTTAGCCCAGGTCTCTCCCACACACAAGTCTCCACCCATGTCCTCACCACCCCCTGCCAAGGCTGGATGCCAGTTACTCTCAGAAGCCAAAGGGGCAGCATGAATCCAACCCAGAACCAGTGGTGCCCAGGGACAGCCAGGTCTCTGTAGGGACCATGCCAGAGTCTTTGGCTCTGGGCCCAAGGGGCCAAGGTCTTCAAGTCTCTGGCTGGGTGGTGGGAGGGAGGTTCATGAGACAATGTCTCCTTTCACACCAAGCCAAATCCACACTCAAGTGCCCCTTTGAAAGGGCTCTGCTGGGAAACAATATACAAAGCCCGGGGAGTGGGGAGGTGGGATTGGACGGCTCAGGTGAAGGCCTTTACCCCAACCTCTCTGCCCCTCCTCTGGTGGGGCTTCTCTCCTTCACCCCAGGACACCCCCAGGAACTGCGAGCGCTACCTGAACTGGGCCCATGCCTTCCTGGTGGTGTATAGCGTCGACAGCCGCCAGAGCTTCGATAGCAGCAGCAGCTACCTGGAGCTGCTTGCCCTGCACGCGAAGGAGACACAGCGCAGCGTCCCTGCCCTGCTGTTAGGCAACAAGCTGGACATGGCTCAGTACAGGTGAGCACGGCCTGCTTGGCCCTTGTCTCCAGAGCTCGCTTTCTTCGCTTGTAAGGGCAGGTGGCATCTTCAGGGATTAGTGGGCTGCTAAGAACAGTCATCCCCTTGAATTGAGGTAGAAGGGATTATATGTTTGTCTGTTTGTTTTCTGAGATGGAGTCTCACTCTGTCACCCAGGCTGGAGTGCAATGGCACCATCTCAGCTCACTGCAACCTCCACCTCCTGGGTTCAAGTGATTCTCCTGCCTCAGCCTCCCCAGTAGGTGGGATTACAGGTGCCTGCCACCATGCCTGGCTAATTTTTGTGTTTTTAGTACAGACCGGATTTCACCTTGTTGGCCAGGCTGGTCTTGAACTCCTGAACTCGTGATCCACCTGCCTCGGCCTCCCAAAGTGCTGGGATTACAGGCGTGAGCCACCGTGCCCGGCCGAAGGGATTATGTTATAAAGGTATTGTAGATGTTGGTCTTCCAGGCAGCCAAGGACTTGAAGGGAAAGGTTTCTGGGTCACACAGGGGCTACACCCTGAAAGTCAGAAGAGCAACCACTCCTTCCTCCCTCTTGGGTCTCTGTGGATTCTCTTGGATTCACCCTTCTTGCCTGAGTCTATCCTGACCTTCCAGCCCCACTCCTAGCAGCTGACTGATCTAGTGCCCGATTCCAATTCTGATTGGCTCCTTGGTCAGGTGTCTGCTCTAGTCCAACCGGCTCTCCCTTCACCCAGACCCAGCCTCCCACACTCACTCCCATGGTTGACTGGGCTGACGGCGGGTTCTCTTAAAAAGGGTTGGACTCAAATCAGAGGTCAGAGACTGGGCCAGAGGACACATTACTGAAAAATACTGCAGCCATATTTTGCTTGGCTGGCATAGTGTCTTAAAAGACCTAGAACTGGAATGCTTTGAGGTGGGGCACGCTCTCTCCAGCCGACCCCGGGCCTCGCCGCTCCCCATGGTTTACCTCCACCCTCTCCACACATTCAAGTTGCCTGCCTGGCCCTGAGGCATTTGACACTGTGATGCCTGAACTTAATGAGTAATGCCACTGAACTTCTCCAGCACTGACCTTTGTCATCTGTGGCCAGTCTACCTTCAAGAGATAGCCCCTTCCACCAGCCACTCATCCCTCCTTGTTCACGGGTGGTCTGTCCTGCTTCCCTAGGCCCCGAGGGCATATTGACTGGTGTTAACAAGGAGGGGACCCTTTGTTTAGAACGGGTCAGATGGGCAGTGGGAAAAAGAGAGGTGTGGGGCCGTGAAGGGGGACTATGGTGAGAGGCCTTCAAAAAGATGGCCAAGCCCTCAGACCCAGGCAAATTGTGTCTCCGTGAATGAGGGAAGTCATGTGACCTGAAAGCTGCTGAAGGTAGTCTTTGAGGAATCGCAGACCCTCTTAGGGGTCAGAAAACTGGATTGTGAGTAGGCCAGTTTCAATACAGGGAAAAAACTACGAATCACTCTTTTGACTCCAGTCTTTGCCAAAGAGATTGTCTAAAATGGTTTGGGAGCAAATAACAAAGAATACATGCTTAAATGAAGCTGATCCCACCTGTTCCCTAAAAACAACTTAGGACAATGTATTCCTATTTCATTCTTCGATCAAGTCCCGAGTTTAGTAGATTGAGATTCTGGGAAGCACAAGAAGTCTAACTTTTAGCTGAGCATTGGTCATTGTCTCCCATGACTGTCTCACTGTTTGAAGGGTAAAATCTGGGTTAGGTTGGTGCTTCCCAAGCCACTGATAAAATTTTCACTAGGATGCAACAAAATAAGAAAAAGAACAATGTTCTGTGCCTCTGTCACCCACTCACACACATGCACACACACACGGGGTTTGTGTTTGTGAAAATTCATTATTCAAGCCCCCACAATGACAAAGTTGCAGATTCAAGCTCATCATAAAAGCACATAATAGCAAGTGTTCTTTCCAAAACGGTTCCTCAGGAAGCGGTGAGCTTACTGGCAGAAACCAGCCCTGGGTGGGGAATAGATTCCATGCCTCTGACTCGTTTTGTCCCAGTCACTCACTCTCTCTGAGACTCCCCCCACCATGGAGTGGCACCCGGGGCAGCTAGCCCACTCTCAGCCCGTGCTCCTGCCAGATCAGCCCTGGGCTCAGAAACTTTTCCTGCCATGGCCCATGAGTGCCTCCTCTCATCTAGTGGCTGTGCCATTATCCTTGGCAGTGAGCAGTGGGACAGCTCAGCAGTAGGGCAGGAAGATGCAGCCAGTGAAATCTCGGCCCCAAGACCTCAGGGACCCCCCTGTCTCTTCCCTCTTCTAGACATCCGACCTACGCAAGAGTCAGTCTTCTTTTTCCTCCCACCTCGATTCCCATGGCTTTCAGGTCAGAAACTTCCACGACCTTCCCAAGTTTCGGATATTCTATCCTCCCTTCATGGGAGGTGGTGTAGGACCAAGCCAGAATAGGTGTTGCCCCCTCTCTCCTTTTGCCCTCCTCACCATGAAATGTTGTCACCCCTGCCCTCTCCTGCCTCTGTCCTGGAGAGGCAGACAGAACACCCCAGGAGCCCTGAGAACTCTGCCAACCACAGGCTTCTGGAGTCACCTCTGTGGTCTAACCCTTCAATCCAAACGACTGCTTCTCTCTAGAGCTGATCCCACAAGCCAGAGCTGTGGGTGGCCCGTTTCCTGCCCCAGGGACCCATGTTGGGGTAGAGAAGAGATGGGGCCGGGAATGGCCTGCTTCCTCCAGTCACAGGCAGGGTTTAGCATAGGGGATTTGGAGTAGCTTCTTACCCTCATCCTCACCCCAAAATTCTTGCTTGGGTGACATCAGCTACCATTTATTGAGCACTGACTCTGTGCCAGGTACTGTGCTAAGCACTTGAAACAAATTGTCTTTCGTAATCCGAACAACCCTGAGGGGCAGAGGTCAGTAATCCATTGTACCTATGAGAACACTGAGACTCAGAGCGGTGAAGATGACCCCAGGCCACCCAGCTAGTCCATGGGGCGCCGGGTGTAGGAGCTGGTCTGCCTGATTTGGCACAGCCTGCTCCTAACTCCCTGCCTCACCCTGCTTCCTCACCAGGCAAGTCACCAAGGCAGAGGGTGTGGCTTTGGCAGGCAGGTTTGGGTGCCTGTTTTTCGAGGTCTCTGCCTGTCTGGACTTTGAGCACGTGCAGCACGTCTTCCATGAGGCAGTTCGAGAGGCACGGCGGGAGCTGGAGAAGAGCCCCCTGACCCGGCCCCTCTTCATCTCCGAGGAGAGGGCCCTGCCCCACCAGGCCCCACTCACCGCCCGGCATGGGCTGGCCAGCTGCACCTTCAACACACTCTCCACTGTCAGCCTGAAGGAGATGCCCACCGTGGCCCAGGCCAAGCTGGTCACCGTGAAGTCATCCCGGGCCCAGAGCAAACGCAAGGCGCCTACCCTGACCCTCCTGAAGGGCTTCAAGATCTTCTGAGGACCCTTCCCCAGGAACCCCAGGCTCGGTGGGTGGACAGGACTGCAGCGGGGCAGGGGCTGGCTTCTCACCACCGGTTTTTCCCTCTGATGAACAGCAGACCCCACCTCCAGCACCAAGCAGTGTCCCTACACTCAGTTCACTGTGTGAGCTGCAGTGGCAGGCAGGGATGCTGCTTCTGTTCCCTCCAGGCCTTGGTCTTCATGGTAACCACCGCATCTGTGGCCCTGGAGGGAAACAGCCACTGTGACAACCCAGAGACCTGGGTTCAGCCTTAAGTAGGAAGAAATTGCAGTGTCCATCCTGCTGCCATCAGCCCTTCCTGCTCCAGCTACAGTTGGGCCAGCTGTGGCCCTTAGTGGACGGTCTAGGTGGATAGCTCTGTCAATGTCAGGCCCGAGAACCTGCAGAATGACAGCCCTGGGGTCCTTGCGCCACCTGGTGGACGGGAAAGGCAGGGCGCTGCCATTTCAGAGGCCAGAGCCTGGCCCTCCTGTCATCTGCTGACTTCACAGAAGGCCCAGGCTACAAACCCCACAGTTTATTCAAGGAATTCACAGAAGGCCCAGGCTATAAACCCCACAGTTTATTCAAGGAATTCACAGAAGGCCCAGGCTATAAACCCCACAGTTTATTCAAGGAAATCTAGTTAAAATAATCCAATGGACAGCCTGGGCGGGGCGAAGAAGCCCCAGGAAGGGGTATTTCCAACACTTGATGTCTCAATGAGGATAAAAGGGAGGGGGCTGTGGGTTGTCCAATGTAAGGAGCCCCAGAGTTCTTTCACCAGCAGACAGATTCCCCATGTGTCTTCCCACTGTTAAGGACTCTGTCCAAAGAACCTCAGGACCAGCTCCGTCAAGTTTAATGATCCAGGCTGCAGAAGAAAGTTGTCACTCCAGTGAGTTACCCAGGGCTCCAGGGAGCCCACAGCAGCATCAGACCCATCCAGGGGCTACAGGGCCTGCCCCCTTGCAGGTGGAAACACAGTATACCCGTTTGTCGTCTGGTTTGGCAGGACCCAGGACCCTCAGCAATGAGTCTGAGTGTTCAAAGCCCACTTTAGAACCTAAAGCATTTTGGGTTAATAAAGCAAATTTTTGCATATGTTATTTGGTGGTGTCACCGCAGCTTATACCAGGACACCATGGCTCAGACATGGGATCAGGACACTCCTTTCAGATCCCACCGTTGGCAAGAAAAGGCTCTCCAAGGCAGGCAGCGTGGTAGTTGTCTGATTTTGTTTACCACACGCCAGGTCCAAGGGAAGCCTTGCACAGACTCTTAGCAGACAAGCGGGAAAGGAGAGGGCCCTGGTGGGTGGAAGGATTGGGAAGGGGGTTCTGGGCCTGGAAGCCTGCTTCTTCCCCTCTCAGCAGTCTCAGGACTGCTGTTGTATTGCAAACAGTATCTCTGACCCAGTCTTCAGTCTCATTCTGTAAATAGAGGAGCTGAGGTCAGAGCGGGGCTGTGAACTACTCAAGACCACATGCTTGGAGTCCTAGCCAGGCTTCCCGACCCACAGGCCAGCTATGGATTTTGCACTTTTGCTCCAGGCCACTTGTGTGTGTGTGTGTGTGTGTACCACTGCCTTGTGAACAAACTATGCAATACCACCTGCTCACTTCCAGGAGCATTTTAATAAAAGATTTTTTTTAATAACAGAATTTTAGTTTGCTTGCAGTTCATTCATTGTATCTGCTAAAAAAGAAAGGAAGGAAGAAAGGAAAGAAAGAGAGAGAGAGAAAGAAAGAAAGAGAAAAGAAAAAGAAAAAAGTGGGCTGCTTGGGAGAGACTGTAAAACCTGAGAGGTTTCAGGCCACTGAGCTGAGCCCAGATCATGTGCCTGGCTTAGGGTGGGACTTCTCTGAACCCTCACTAGCTCTCAGTTTCTGGTATGTCTGGAAGGAAAACTGACAGCACATCTCTCTCTTTTAACTCGAGTTCCACCTGGGCTGAGTTTGGCTTTTCTGAGAGCAAAGTCTCTCTTAGGTTGTTTAGGCTGTTGTGATCCTTGGTTCTGGCCTCATCCAAATGCGGGACTTCTGGATTTTCTTTTTCTGGTGGTTGCATCTTTTGTTTTCTGGAGGGACAGGGAACAGTGTTAATCAGGGGGGCTGAGTGGTTGGGGCAGGACTGGGTCTCCCAAATGGCTTAAAGAATCTGAAGGGAAAATTCTGTATGCAGTCTGTATGCAGTTGGGGGAGAAGTGGCAATAGTTGGATATTCCCTCAACAGAGAAATGACTTACGCTTGCGTGTGTGTCATTTCAGGGAGTCCTTACTGTCACCTGTGAGCTCAAGTATCATTGCCACCCCCCCCTCCGCCGCCACCTTCCAAGTGAGGAAATGTAGTTCACGGAGGCCAGGTGCAGTGGCTCATGCCTGTAATCCCAGCACTTTGGGAGGCTGAGGCGGGTGGATCACTTGAGGCCAGGTGTTTGAGACCAGTCTGGCCAACATGGCAAAATTCCGTCTCTACTAAAAATACAAAAATTATCTGGGTGTGGTTGTGCCTGTAATTGCAGCTACTTGGGACACTGAAGCAGGAGAATTGCTTGAACCTGGGAGGCAGAGGTTGCAGTGAGCTGAGATTGCACCATTGCACTCCATCCTAGGCAAGAGAAAGACTGTCTCAAAAAAAAAAAAGCTAAGGATGCACATAGTTAGGGTGTGCACTTAAGCCTCCTGACTCTTGAGTCCTGTGTTCATTTCACTTAACCACACTGTCTCTAACCTTGGACTGTTATCCTACTTAGCACAGGTCCTTGTTACCACACACCTCATCCCTCACACTACTGCAGGAAATTTCTAACTAATCTCTCTGCTTCTGGGTGTTTCCTTCTCTAAACCATCCTAGGCACAACACCAGTCATGTTTCTAAAACCCCATCGTGTACACATCACTCCCCTCCCCCAACCACCTTCATTGGCTCCCACTACCCACTTCCTTAACCTTCTAATAACTCTCACGAGTCTGTCCTCTCTCCAGATTGATTTTATTCAAGGTATCCCTAGATTTCCTGGCCATAGTGGAGGGACCCAGTGGGGGTAAGCTGTCAGCCCAGAGATTCTGCCTGGGTCGTAGGGGGAACAGGTCTGCTGTACCTGTGGACAGCCACTCATCTCTGAGTTGACCTTGCTGAGGTGCATGTGTCCTGACAGGGTGAGAGGGGCAAGCTCCCCTTCTGAATGGCTACACTCCTCCAGGTCATGCCTGCTTCCTGTCCAGGGCCAGGGGGTAGTAATCAGGGACTGTTGCTGTTTTTTGTTTTGTTTTGTTTTTAACAGCTTTGGGTTCTCGAAGGACACTGAAGGCTGAATTTTGCTGTCCCAAAGGGTAGACAGCCATTTTCCCTAAGTGACCCCTCTCTAGATTTCCCTCTGGGAAGGCAGGGCCTCTACCCCTCAGAGACCACCTCATCCCCCCAGGACCAGCTCCTCACCTGCTTGCCTGGATGCTCCTTCCCAGGAGGAACATGCTTATCATGACCACCACAGCCGCCAGGGCAAGGATGGAGTGATTCCAGGGAGATGCTGGGGAGGGACACACAGGACAGAGCCCTGAGGAGTGGCCAGGCACCTCTCAAGCCCACTAACAGCTGGGCCCTGGGCTCAGACCCAGCTGACAGTATCAACTGTCCTTTGCGTGGAGACCCTAATCCAAGATGAGCCCCTTGCCCTGGGGCACTCCCAGTGTAACAGGTGGGAGGGTGGAAGACACAGTCTCTACTCTGGAGAAGCCCTAATCTAATGGAGGAGACAGTACTGCAGCTAAATAACAGTGGGGCCACAGGGGTGAAGGGCAGAGGCCTGCAGAGGGCAGGGGACAGGTGGGCCAAGATAAACTTCACAGTCTTGAGTTTTGCCAGGGGCTGGCACAAGGCAAAGAAAGAAGGCTGGGCGCAGTGGCTCACGCCTATAATCCCAGCACTTTGGGAAGCTGAGTCAGGTGGATCACCTGAGGTCGGGAGTTCAAGACCAGCCTGGCCAACATGGTGAAACCCTGTCTCTACTAAAAATACAAAAATTAGCTGGGTGTGGTGGTGTACCCCTGTAATCTCAGCTACTTGGGAGGCTGAGAATCACTTGAATACAGGAGGCAGAGCTTGCAGTGAGCCAAGATTGCGCCACTGCACTCCAGCCTGGGCAACAGAGTGACCCTGCCTCAAAAAAA